AGTGTGCAGTGCAGTGTACTTATATATTTTTGCATATTTTAATATAGGATTTAAAGTAAAAACCCATCATCCTCATATACCATTAAATTTAACTTCGATAGTCACAAAAATACAGTTTACAATATTGAAATAAATCACTCTTCGAATTTATTTTTCAATTATTACAGCCTCTCAAAGTACAAAATTTGCAGCAGTTTTTCATTTTGTAGTAGTTATTAAGAAGACACTGTTCCACATCTCCTGGTTTGTTTCCTCCTAGTGCCTCTTACAACTCACGAGTTTGAACAGTAAGTGAATATCATTATCCTAAGGTATTCTTCCGTAAGCAAAAAACACAAGACCAACGCCATGTCAATTTTTCTATCTAACATACATATACAAAACAATTTTTTGTCAGTGTTACGAGTTTTTTTTGATAAAAAAATCAGAGTTACCCTATTTTTCATGCAAACGTTATGCCTATGAACGTGTACTATTTGTACACAAGTAACAATAAAAATATATTGTAAAGAAAAATCGCCTTTAGATAAAAGGAACAAAGTATAAAATTCATTAATAGTCAAGTTTGGATTATTTGAAAAACGAACACATCTTCAATGTGTGAGTGGCCTCTGAACACACGGAGCGCTTTTATAAATTGATATATTATACATTATTCTTTATTGATATAATGCCAATATTAAACTGGTATTGTAAAACACTTTTTTACCATTTAAATTTGCCATATAAATAATAAGGTGCCAGCCAACGTTGTTTTATACAATACAATTAGTCCAAATTCAAACACTTGCTTTATTTTTGCTGATAATTTTTTTTTTAAATGGACCAAAATATTAATGTCTAATTTTATATTTAAGAAATGTGAAGTCAAATATATAAAAGTTAATGGTATTCAATTCCGTATAAACGTTCATTGTCTGTAAAACTGTATAATATCATTATTTAAACAGATGGATACGTAATGAATGTTACAAAAAATGGTTTGAATTTCAATGTTCCTACGCGTACAAAATCAACATAAATATATTCATATGTGTTTGAAATTCGTTTCATATCGCTTAATTTATTTAATAACGAAACCTACCTATGTTTATCAAGTTATTTCCCGTTTAGTTAAAAATGTCATCCATAAGTAAAGTATTTTTACTAAAGAAACTCTGCCTGATTGATAAGGTAAGGTAAATCTTGTCAATGAAATCAGTTTTAACTTTTAAATTATCAATTAAAAAATATTAATTAAGAACGGTCATAGTAAGACCTTATCGTACTACTTATTATCAATAATAAGAAAATAAAATAAATGAATAAAGACCGCTGTCAATGTCATCCATTTTTTATTTCTTTTGTTCTTTCCTTTGTCTTTACTCGATAAGAATTAAAACCGTGTCAAAACATTTTACTACGTAAGTTACCAATTTACGAAATATATTTTTCGCTTTTCCAAGTGATTCAATGTGATATTAAACAACCTTGTTTGTTCCAGCTTCCAGCCACGCTTCAAGTTTATCATTATAGTAGGTATCGCTTGAAGTACGGTGACCATATGCGGTGAGTTAATTTAAGGACTTAACATAAAGTTTTGTTGTGATATAAATTTTTATAGTTTTTAGAGTAGTGCTTATTTCATATTGATTTAGAAGATTTTCAGTATAATACAATCGCGGAAACAGATAAGAAATTAATGTCAATAATTTAGCGATAAACATTTTAAATTTTGATTTTTAAAATTTATTGATGTACACGCCGTATTAAATATTATAATCTTTCATTTCCTCTTTTTATGAAATTGCAGATTAATCAGTGCGCTAAAATTTATTCTAACAACCAATGATTTTGCGCTAGTAATATAGGTATTAGGTACACAAGACAATGGTAACGACTGATCTTATATCGACTTAGCTCTTATCTTATTTATTATATTAATTTATATTATTATATTAATATACTAGCTGTTCCCCGCGACTTCGCCCACGTGTAATTTAGGGTTTTAATTTTTTGCGAGGAACCCTAATTATTTTTCTAAAATAAAAGTAGTCTAAGTTACTCCTTATGATATCAGCTATCTGCCAGTGAAAGTCTCGTCAAAATCGGTCCAGCCGTTTCGGAGAGTAGCCGGAACAAACAGACAGACAGACAGACAAAATTTTATAAGGTGTATTTATGTTATAAGTACCGTTTATACTTTCATAATATGCATTTAGTAAAACGCTGTAATTTTGTCATTACAAAGAGACACTTTTTTATTAATTTTTATAGATATCTTAGATAAATCTTTTGAAGTTGCATGCCGTTTTCCCGCCAAATGTTTGCCAGTTTTTGTAGAGAAATATATCCTGAAAGAGACTAATAAAGAAGTTAAAGTAAGAACTAGATAAGAAAAGTACACCGTAAAGTATTTTATTTATATCTTCTTTAGTAGATCCGTCTAACAAGCGTGGCAATAATGACAAAAGTCCCCCTTTGATGAGCCAATGTTCAGCAGTGGACTTTTACACACTAACGGATGGACGGAATCGATCGCAAGTCTATAAGGTAAGATTGCAGTGTTTATCTGATAGATTAGACTGTTAAAAATCATAAAAAAAAATAAGAATAATATGTTGTATTGTACTTATATTGGAAAAATTTATTCAAAATATTTGCATAGTATTTTGTTTAGAATACATAGTAACCATAATATTATAATTATACTAAGCAAAAAGTCTACGTAATAAAAAAGCAACATGGCGACCTTATTGCTACGTCGGAGCGCTTTTTGTGGAAATCTAGTGCTGCTAAAAATAAATAAACTAAAACATTTAAGGTCACATTATAAGCAAAACTTCAAGATAATGAACTAGTTCGACGCGTTCCGTTTCGTTTGGTATGGGTTCCGGATGCGTTTGCTTAACAAATATTCAAATACGTAACTGGAAAATTCTAGAAATTTATAATTTTCTATACCCCCGTATCGTCCTGAAGGTTCCGTAAGCGGCGACACAGGTATATGGAACAGGAGATGCTACTCCAAATGATAAAAATTGCGATTGACCAAGTATAGCAACAATGGCAAATATCTCCGCTATCAGGCACAATATAGGGGAGGCCTACATTCTGCAGTGGAGTTTTAATAAGTTGTAATGTAATGAATAATTGAAAAATATAATCAGTGTGTCCATCTGAAGCATAATTATCAAGTACCTATCTATTTATCTGTATTACTGACTGTACTTAGTGAGAATATGTTTTATTTTGATATTTTGTCTATGTCTACAGATTTAATTAATAATCTTATTTGCACAGGTGTTGATACAAAATGAACAACTATCACCGTGAACACCTAAAGAGAAAAGGACTAAGAAATATAATAAATTCTTATTATTGTAATGATAATAATAATAAACATCAAAATCAAAATTATTAGTTAATTACAACATCCTTTGAGCGATATTCGTTTCTTTTGTATCATGCCAATCATTATAGGTATTTAAATAAATATCACAAATGTATAAATACGTACACCGTAAGCGACCGTCGTTATAGGGTTGCCATCACAACGGTTTTCTTTCTTAAAATATTTTTCTATAGGCGAAAAATGTTCGTATGTTTATTATTTTTTATTTTTATGTAAAAATATAGTAATATAGGTAGGGTTTTATGTGGTAGAGCTTGATGCAGCTGCAGCTTTATTAGTGGTATATATGTAGCACGAATGGGTTGGCTCGACCGGGGAAGGACCACGATCTCACAGAATACCAGCGTAAAATTGCAGCTTAATGCTGCTGTGTTTCGTATGGTGATTGTAAAGTACCGGAGACCCTTTTTACTGGAAACGAGGCATTCCATCTTAGTTCTCACGGGTGACGACTGACGACGCATCTGCATTTTGATTCGTAATCGAGGATAGATGTAGGTTTCTATGGGCTACAGCAACCACTTATCATCAGGTGGACTGTGTGCTCGTTTGTCACCCTTATGCTATGAAAAGGTAGTTTTACGGTAAATATAGTTTTTTATTTATATTATGCCCATTATTAAATTGAATAATTGTTAGAATTAAGAACAGAATGTCATGTAATATTACAATTCCCTCTGTTCCTTTTTAATTAGTACCTATAGGTGGTAGGGCTCATATTCTGCCTAGGGTAGGTACCACCCGCGAAATAGCAGCGGGTGTAATGCTGTGACCAGGTCTGAAGGGGTGGGAGTCAGTGTAATTACAAATTATGAGGCATTCCATCTTAGTCACTTTTATAAAAAAATGGATATCACAATATTATATATGAGCCTATGGGAAAATTGAAAATTTGAGTTATTTTTGAATGTGAATGTCGTCGTACTACTCTCTATTTCACGTTTCTAATATATCTAAAATCAGGCATATTTGAAATTAAATGAAAAAGAGTAAAACTCTGCGATTGAAACGGCTAATCCTTCGATTAAATTAGTAAGAAATTTCCATAATTATCCCGTGAAACGCCTGCAGTACTTCAGGCGCACTGCGCGTCTTTGTCATTTAAATTTAAAAAAAAAACTGTCAATTAGCATGTATTTTTTTTAAGAATTTACTATACTTATCACGCTGGGGATGTGGATTTCCGACATCCAATTTTTTTATAATATTGTTATTTATGAAATGCATTACGCATACAATTTATTATAATTAAAATTTTTGGTATTATCCAATTTTAAATAAAACAATTAAATAGGCGATAGTTGGAATTATTTTACGCTAATAATATTAAATTGCTATTTTGTTAAATTTATGCATTTGTGCACATTTAAAGTAAATTATTTATTTATTTATTTAGATAGATACACCATCGACTAAATCAATATTTTAGACAAAGGATATACCTTAACAGGTGTATACATCATGAATTGAACACAATTATTTTCAAAGTAATAGTGACGTTGTTACAAAAAATAGCAACGAAAATTATTAATTATCTTAATAATAACTAAATGCATGATTAGCAGCCCTAAGCTATGTGTGAGCGGGTAAGAAACATTGAGCACACAGACGTGGGCCAACCGTATTCAGAGATGGCAGTGTTCCTGTCAAAGAGAACGCTCCCCGCGCGCGTGTTTTGACTTATTTTCGTCAAACGTACGCCATATTGTTTTATTGTGTTCAATAATCAACATTTCACTACAGAAATTTCACTTATTTGAAATCTTCTAATAACACGGTAGAGTGCGTCAATGATTACGCCATAGCATTGTGATTAAAAAAAATATTCTCAATTACGTAGTGTTTATGTTCTCTGGTAAATATTGAAGGTTTTACTATTTTTTATCTGTGAATTAGAAAAAAGGAAAAACAAATTGTTTTTGTTATGTACATACTTATTAAATATTAGGATTATGTATTTGTGTGGTGATCAATAAAGTTAAAAGTTTAAAAATTTCTAAAACAAAAATAAATAAATCCTTATATAATTTTAATTAACATAAATTGCGATATGAGAAGTGTCTAAAAATACGACGTTGAAAAATAACTGTTTCTGTACCGCGTTGTTTAAAATTAGTGCAATGGCTACGCTGAAAGTTAAAATAAGAATGCATAAAAATTAACAATTACATCGTCCGAAATGTAAGCGATTAGTGGTTTTGTGAAGTGTATACGTGGATATTTCTTTGTCTTTTGGATTACATTGGATATGGAGAAACCGTCATATAAGGTGTGTATGTACCTATTACATACCTGCATTATGTATGTAAAATTTTATGAAAAATTATAAGCCAGTGATTAAAATTACTAACTAAAAGAAATTATCATATCTTATGAGTTATGATTAGGATACTTTATCCGCTTTTTGACTATTATAGCTCGAACACGTAAAAATAAATTTAATGAGCATGTACAATTAAATGTATATTTGATGAAGTCATCAATTGCGATTACTATTAAATTATTATTATTTAATGGACTTATGTTACTGTGAAATAATATCAGGGCTTAGCTTTCCATTGACTCCCGTCGAGTTGGGGGTTGATACGTATTTTTACAGAAAAGTTACACTATTATAAGCACACACACAAAGTTACAACATGCGGAAACGCGTAATTTTTGAGAAAAAGTTATTGAAAATCAATTATTCTTGCATTGTTTATATCTAATCCTACCATAAAACTGACGCCATTTTGTAATGTCATTTTCGTCAGTAGGGATGTCGATTCTTTCCGAAAAAAGGTCGATTTTTAAATCGATTCAAATCGTAAGCTGATGTATCGATTCATAAAAAATAGATTTCTAAAATATCTATATTTTTTATGTTTGCATTTATAATGTAAATATAATTCCATTTTATGAAAAACAAGAAAGATACCATAATAAACGATCTGTTATTGAGTTTTGTTTTATTTTAACAGTACCAATTAGGGCAGATAACAAATAAAATAGGTTAGGTTCAACTTATGTCAAAGAACCAAATTGATTGACCCTGACTCCACCTGGTACGAGTCTGTCCTACCCCTAGAGTGGTTTTAAAGAGCCGGAGGCGCGTAGGGGGAGCAGCCTCCGCCTGCTGTAACAAATCGTAGGTATCGGACGAGCCGGAGTGGCTGAGGCTGGTCGCCGAAGGCGACCAACAAGCCAAAGCTGTGGAGGCGAGGAGGGATGCCTGCGATTTGTTAGGCTAAGGCGTAGAGGCTGCTCTTCCCGCAGCGCCGGAGACGTAGCAGTCTCAAAATAGATACAGAAATCTTTCTGAATTAGTCCCCCTATATTTTATGATGAAGGGGACTTTTCATTCTCATAAAATGGATTTATATTTACATTATAAATGCAAACATGAAAAAAATATAGATATTTTAGAAATCGATTTTTTGGGAAAGAATCGACATCCCTACTGACAATAACAATAAAAAAATGGCGTCAGTTTTATTGTAGGATTAGACATAAACAATGCAAGAATAATTGATTTTCAATAACTTTTTTCTCAAAAATCTTCCGCATATTGTAACTTTGTGTGTGTGCTTATAATAGTGTAACTTTTCTGTAAAAATAGGTATCAACCCCCAACTCGATGGGAGTCAATGGAAAGTCGTACCACGTCGAAAATCTATACCTATACTGATAGGGTTATCACCTGATGCAAGTGAAAATTTTAAGGAAAAAATAAAATTATTATATTGTATAAAATAACATGTGTATTCATTGTAACTTAAGTTAATATAATAACATGTCTGTTATTTGTAATTAAAATTGAAACTGCAAAAATTGTATATTTGGCTTATTTTCATGCTTAGCTCCACATTACATATACCTTCAAAAGCGTCATTGCCAAGGCAAGGTCTAGGCACATCGGCAGAATTGGCGAGAAGCTAGTTCGCCTTCCTTCGGGAACCCGTGCATTCTGGTCTCTCGCTAAGGCTGTCCAAGGGAACTTCTGTCGGCCATCTCTTCCATCTCTGCAAAGAGAGGACGACTCAATGGCCCATGCCGCAAAAGAGAAAGCCGATCTGTTGTGCTCTCTTTTTGCGTCTAACTCGACTCTAGATGACGGGGGAACACACCGCCGACCATCCCGCGATGTGAGTGCTCCATGCCGGATGTGCGATTTACACAGCGCTCGGTTCGCAAAGCACTCTTCTCCCTGGACGTCAGCAAGTCGAGTGGGCCCGATGGAGTCCCTCCCATTGTGCTGAAGACGTGTGCTCCGGAGTTGGCACCGGTCTTAACGCGTCTTTTCCGGTACTCCTACTCCCAAGGCGTAGTCCCGAATTCATGGAAGACAGCTTTGGTCCACCCGATCCCTAAAAAAGGCGACCGCTCAGACCCGTCCAACTACAGGCCTATCGCCATCACCTCCTTCTCCAAAATAATGGAATCCATTATAAACTGCCAGCTCATGAGGTACCTTGAGGATCACCAGCTGATCAGTGACCGCCAGTACGGTTTTCGTCGGGGTCGATCAGCAGGTGATCTTCTAGTTTACTTAACTCATAGATGGGCGGAGGCAGTAGAGTCCAAGGGGGAGGCATTGGCCGTTAGTTTGGACATAGCGGACATATTGGACGTAGCATTCATTGCTATGCAGATGACAGCACTGAGGATGCCTTATATATACCGGCCGTGCCAATATTTCTCGGGAAAACGTCGCCGAGTAGCGGGACAAAATTGTGTCTGAAGTCGAGTCTTTGGTTAACAAAGTCTCGGATTGGGGCCGACTAAATCTAGTCCAGTTCAATCCCCAGAAGACACAAGTTTGCGCGTTTACCGCTAAAAAGAACCCCTTTGCCGTATCTCCTCAGTTTCAAGGCACTCCCCTTGCTGCCTCAGCCAGTATCAGAATCCTTGGCGTCGACATATCAAATAACGTGCAGTTTCGTGGTCACTTGGAAGGGAAGGCCAAATTGGCCTCTAAAAAGCTTGGCGTGCTCAGCAGAGCGAGACAGTATTTCATGCCGGCACATCGCTTGCAACTTTACAAAGCGCAAGTTCGGCCCCACATGGAATACTGTTCTCATCTCTAGGCCGGGGCACCCCAGTGCCAGTTCCTTCCACTTGACCGCATCCAGCGCAGAGCGATTCGAATCGTCTACGACCGAGTTCTTTCTGATCGGCTTGATACACTGGCACTGCGTAGAGATGTTGCATCTCTTTGCGTATTTTATCGCATCTATCACGGGGAGTGCTCTGAGGAATTGTTCGGACTAATTCCAGCCGCTCAATTTCACCATCGCACATCGCGACAAAACTCGCGTTACCATCCATACCATCTGGATGATTGGCGGTCCACCACTGTGCGATTTAGAAGAAGTTTTCTCCCTCGCACAACTTCTTTGTGGAATCAATTACCACCAGCGAATTTTCCGGACCGATACGACTTAGGGAACCTTCAAGAAAAGAGCTTACACCTTTCTAAAAGGCCGGCAACGTATTTGCAATTCCCCTGGTGTTGCGGTTGTTCATGGGCGGCGGTAGTCACTTACCATCAGGTGAGCCGCATGCTCGTTTGCCCCCTATTCTATAAAAAAAAACATATCTATACATATATATTAGTAATGACTGTGATGATGGTAGTGCGCAGTTGCGGTGTTGATTCACCACCACCACCAATGTTACTACTAGGATGATGGTGGCGGTAGTAAGGGCCGTGGTGGTGATGCTGGTCGTGGTAGTAGTTCCAGTGGCAGTCTACTGTCCACCACCACCACCAATGATACTACCAGCACCACCACAATCACTGACACCATTACCAGCACGTACAGCACTACCATCCACCTCTACCAACACCGCACGGTCAGCACCACCGTCCACCATCACCATTACCAGCACTACTACCACTTAACACTTAACTGCACCACTGTCTGGCTATTGAATTATTTTCTCTCGAATTTTTCATACATACTGAACAACTTCGGCATTTAGCTTATACGAACACTAATTATCTAATATAAATATATACTTATAAATCTATAATGTCTTATTTTATAGTACACAATCTCTTAACTTAACTCTAATTGTAAAAAAAAAAATTAATAGATTTATTGATCTATAAAATCACGACATATTCGTCTATTTATTTCAATGCGCGTGACCAACAGCCCTTTCATTCACACTCTGACTGAGCCGGCGCAAACCGGTTTGTACCCTGACGGAGCGTCGGTGAACCTGTCGGTGAGAGCTCACGCACACATCGCTGCGCTATGTGTGGGTGTACCCGAAACGAGACGTTTGTATGTAGCTTCCCCTCTGGTCGGTTTCTTTACTCATGTGCTCCAACCATGCCGCTGTGCGCCATATCAGTAAGGGCTAGTGATGGGCGGGCAAGGCCATCCAGTTGATTTTATCGATCTTCAATTTTTTGAAATTAATCTAAGGTCAAATTCTGTGGTTACATGTTAATTTTCTATTGATTTTAGTATTATACAAGTATGCTTACATAAAGTCGCCTTATTTTGTAACATATTATCTATTTATTTTTATAACAGTGCGAATAAAATTTACAAAACGAAGGCATTTGTCGGTCTCAAATTTAATTCACGCACGCACTCACACACACACTAACGCACACACGCACACCTGCAACACGTATGCACATTAATGATCAAGTTATTGTTAAACGCGGAAACCACTACGAATACATAAGTACGATCGTGACGAAAGAGTAAATTAACATTTGGATTAAATAAATCTTAAAACATATAGCTAATAATACTAAAGAGTATTAATTGAAAAGTATTAATTGATAGTAAATTTTAAGAGATAGTAGCTTAATAGTTAACGAGTGCGAACTGCGAAACTCAAAAGTCGTGAATTCTAATTCACCAATCGAGTATTGTCGTAAACCATTCCTAGCACAAACGTTTGGAAGATTAACGGATACTGCTAGTATTCTTTAAAAAAGAAAAAGGTTTAATGTTATACTCAGTCGTAATTTAAACTTCTCACAGACCAAAACTTGTTATTTTACATTATTTGAGACAAGTTTGTCTTAACTTTTTGGTTTGTATATTATTCAAATATTTACGTTTTTTGTAATTTTATTTCTACTTAATATCAATCGGGCTTTAAAATATTTTATTACAAGTGAATATTTGTGAATAATAAAAAATGTAAATATTTACCGTGACCGGAATCGATGAGGATCACCGTCTTTATGCCGTTTTTATTTTCTATAAGATTTACGTAATTGATTAATCAAATATTATTTATATATAATGTGCTTACTGT